ATTATAACAACAATAATAATAATAATAACAGCAACACTAACAGTTACAACAGTCACAACAACAATCGCAACAATAACCATAACACCACCACAACAAAAGCCCGTGGACTCACATAGTAGGTACGTCGGTGTGAGGTGCTCCAAACAAACAAACAAACACACACACACACAAACACACTCACACACACAACAACAACAACAACAACAACAACAACAACAACAACAACAACAACAACCCCATGTACTCTCTTTGTAGGCATGTCGGTGTGAGGTGCTCCACCATCACCACCACAACAACACCACAATAATCACAACACTACCACTACCACCACCACCACCACCACCACAACAACAACAACAACCACAACAAGAACAACAGCCACAACAACCCCGTGTACTCACATAGTAGGCACGTCGGTGTGAGGTGCTCCAATAGTACTGCGGCAACATCTGCTGCACGTCATCCGGGTACCAAGGCCGCCTCTTCCAGGAGCCCAGCCCTTCCACCATGACCAGGGACACCATCAGGGTCAGTGCTAGCGCCGTCAGTGGGGACGTCATTCTGGCTACAGCTGAAAGGGAGGGGAGGGCGGCATGTTTGTTTTGGTAAGCGTTTTAGTTAGTTTTAGTAAGGTTTTACGAAGCTCGAAACTGCATAAGGAAATAGCCAAGAGGAAAGTGCAAAAGGAGAGGGAGGGGGGGGGGGGCAGAAAGTAGAGACGAAAGGAAATGACATAACATGGTTAGAGAGCAGGAAAGGAGGTGAAAGAAGAACATTCTAGGGAAGAAAATGTTCCATGGCTGTCACGCTTCGATCCTGGGATCTACTGAATGAGAGGCAAACACCATAACTTCTAAACCACGAGAGCCCCAATGGGAGAGGGGAGCAGGAGAAAGGATGACCATAGAATAGACCAGAGGCTGAGCCCTGAAATAACAGCTAACAACAACAACAACAACAACAACAAAAGCAACAGCAACAACAATATCAACAACAACAACAACAGCAACAACAACAACAAAAGCAACAGCAACAACAATATCAACAACAACAATATCCACAACAACAACAACAACAACAACAACAACAACAACAACAACAACAACAACAACAACAACAACAACAGCTATAGCAACAACAGCAGCAGCAACAACAACAACAACCACAAAATTTACAGCTCTGTTGTTTTGGCCCCGGGTGTCTAATAAAAAACAGGGGAACCTATCCGTCTACCAAAAAATTCTGAGGAAAGAGTCGAAAGGGTTCAAACTGGGAGAATGCGATGGCCATCAATTTGTAACCTTTTGGCTTTCAATGTGTTTCCCCCAACTTTTCTTGTAACCATGAAATGGTCGCTCATGATGTGTGGAGTGCGGCCTTGTCCAGCTGATAACAGGCTTTCTAAACAGCAACAAGGGGGCTCTCATGGCCTCTAGAGGTTAAGATGTTCGCTTCGCATTCAATAGGTACCGGGTTCGAATCCGGATAGCAACAGAAAACTTGTGCTGCTCAACTGATAAAGTCTTTGTTAGTGATTATTGTAAAGAAGCAGAAGATGCTTCGTTTTTTGTTTTCGTGTTTTTTTTTTAATTTCTATTATAGGAATTGATTTTTTAAAGAAAAGAGAAAAGGAAGGCAAAAGCAACAACAGCAGCAACAAAAACAACAACAACAGCAACAATAACACCTACAACAACGACAACAACAGCAACTGAAATAACAAAAACAAAACCCCAACAAAAACACTTGTAATTTCGCGTCCCGATATTGTCTATGAAAATGTCCTTTTGTTTTCCTGCATGATCTCACGTCATTCTCTTCCCACCTTGTCAACAAAGACCGTCGCACGGATGTTCGTTACTTCAAAACATCAAGTTATAATGTATGTCCTCCTTGTAAAACCAGGCGCTCGTCAGAATAACGAAGAAACCTGCATTTTCTCTTGCCCGATTGACAATTTGTATTGATTTTTTTTTGGGGGGTGGAGTATTTTTGTGTGGTCCATTTAAGTGAAAAACATTGATAAATATCACCCCAAAAAACGTAAATTCGATATTACTAAGGACACTAAAACTTTGGAAGTCATCAAACTTTAGCGGCTATTTTCTCGCCTATCTTAATTCTGACACCAGGCAACCCCAGCCCCCACCTCTTTCAATTGCAGATATCTCGACCTCTATTCAAGATAAAGGGGTATTTTTGTCATAAAAAATAAGACAAATAAACAAACTTTGAGACGAAACCAATTACTACCTAATCCAAAAAACAACAACCCAACAACAAGCAAACAAAATAAAGAACTGACAAGCGTTTGATTCCACCACGATGCCTCACAAACCACGTCTCTTAAACATTTCACTGAATAACCCCTTGTATAATTTGTTTTATCCGTTGGGGTAACGATTGCTCCGTTTCCTGTCGATCATAGAGAGCCAGGGTTCTTAATCTCAACAACTTTGCACTAGGCTAACTGGAGAAAACCTAATGAAATCACACAGCATTTTTTCCCTCTGCTTAAATCAATTTTTCAAGAAACAGAATGAGTTCGGAGTGTTTGTATGATAAAGATAGAAATCTTCTTTGTGGAGATTTCTTTAAGAGAACTCTGGGGAAAAGTTGTATACCGAGGCAGACAGTAGTTTAATACTTTTGAAAACAACAGTTTTTAAAAGGTTGATATTAAACAAGTAAACTGAAAGATTTAGTTCGATTTGAAAATAAAAAAAGACACGGCATGACTGGGTTTCGGTCCAATGCACTAAATCGCGAACTCTCTTTTCGCGCTTCTGCAGTAAATCTATATCAAGAAAAGGGCAAATTGTCGTAGCACATTGTCAAAGTATTTGAGTGTATTCAGTTTCATTGACTTTGACCTTAACCATCATTAATTTATTTTTAGAGGCACCAGCTATCCAAGTCCAGGTGCTGTTTTAGCCTCTTTTTCCTGTCTGTGGATTAATAATTTTCTTTTTTCCAATTTGGTTCCACTTCCATGCTCCCTGTATCTGTCGTTCTAAACCTGGAATTCGCCTATAATTTCTATATTGTCATCATTCACGTAACCTTCCACAGTTTCATCAAAGTGCAAGCACAAGGGGGCTATCCCGAAAAATGCTGTTTTGAGAAAATCGAAGGTCAAGATTTTGTCCCTTAATCAGTTTCTTTAAAATACAAAGAGGGCTTTCGTTCTAACCAAACAAATATACCCACCAATGACACCAATCTTCTCCTATAGGTAGGGCAATGCCCACTTTTGGTGTAGGTCAAGATTTCTGGAAACCCCCAAAATCTGAGTTAGCCCGCTTGTCCTTAAAAGCGACCAATTATTGGGCGCTACTCAATGGCGACCGGTTGTGTTCACTTCACTCTGTGCATATTTTGGTTTTTTTCTCAGATATTCTTTTTTGGGGGAATTTTTTTTACGGCTCCTGCGAATGCATAAGGTCATATGAGCGAGGGGTCAGATATTTTGTTGTGATTATAGTTATGTCACAGAGGTGTAGGCCTATGGAAGAGAGGATGAGTCAGCGAAGAGTGTGTGAGTATGTATGGGTGTGCACATGTGCGTGCGTATGCGTCTGTGTGCGTGTAGTAGTAGTACAGGGTTTTACGGCGCTCGCAACTGCATAAGGTCATATGAGCGCGCGAAACACAAGTTGGTAGCATTCGCAACAGTTCACTGCACGGTTGGTCGACAATTAGACTTTAAAATGCTAAAATACTAAAATTCAGTGTAAATTTAAAACAACTCTTATAAATAACAATATAATTTTTTAAACAATATTGTTTCACTTTACAATTTGCCATAAAGGCCAATGGCCTTCATAAAATTCAAAATTCTGCTGTGACCGACGACGGAAAAAATGTCTAGCAATTTCTTGCATTTATAACATTTCCTTCGGATTTCTCCAAAGTCCAGACATTCGGTTAAGATGTGTCCAACGGTAAAATCTGTGTCGCATCCGACACAGAACGGCTTCTCATCTCCCTGTAGGAAGTATTTGTGGGTCAGGGCCGTGTGTCCGATGCGCAATCGAGTAAAAATGACTTCGTCTCTTCTGGAGAGGTCCGAAGGATTTCGCTGTTTCAGTTTGGGTTTTATAACATACAGTTTATTATTTTTCTGTTTTTCCCAGTGGCTCTCCCACAGACTGGATGTGTACTTTTTGACTTTATTTCTAAAGTCAGTCGGTGAGAGAGTGTTTGTCGTTTATCCCAGCAGAAGGGATGAGGCTTTCTTCGCCAGGTCGTCTACCTGCTCGTTTCCTCGGATGCACACATGGCTAGGTATCCATGCGAACATGATGTTTTTTCCTCTCTGGGATAGTGTGTGAATTTCCTGTTGTAGCTTAACTATTTTTGGGTGTAAGAGTGTGTAGTTTGTGAGTGAGGTGATGCAAGACAGAGAGTCAGAAAGGATTAAGAAAGATTTGTTTGGAGAATTTTCTACGGAGTCCAGTGCCATGTCAATGGCAGTGGCCTCCGCAGAGAAAATGGAGACTTCAGGATGAAGTCTCCTCTGGTGTGTACTGTTGGGAGATAGGGCTGCAGCGTTCACTTCATTGTCATTTTTGGAGCCATCCGTGAAGATGAGCTCCGCACCGTGGTATTTATCTATTATTTTTTTGTATTCTGCTTTAAAAGTTTGGTGTTTGTGCTTTCTTTGTTGTGTGTGGTCAGCTGTAAGTCTACTTTTGCCTTGGTGAGGTGCCACGGAGGGAGGTCGGGGAAAAGAATTTGTTGAATGTCTTGTTTGGAAAAGTGTAAGTTTTTGAGGTCCTCGAGGATTCTGAGGCCGAAGGGTTTGATGAGTTTTTCGTTGTTTTGGAATTTGTTCATGGTTTCTGGGTTTGTTTTAAAAATGCAGTTGTGCGCTGGATTTTCCGGTGTTGAGCTCTGTTTAATTGCGTATTGTAGTGAGAGTTGAGTGTGTCTGAGTGAGAGTGGTGGTATGTTTGTCTCGGCCTGGAGGCTCTCCATCGGAGAAGTGCAGAAAGCTCCCAGAGCGAGGCGGAGTCCTTGGTTTTGTACTGGGTCTAGCATTTTCTGGATGTGTGGTTTTTCCGATCCGTAGACTTGACAGCCTGGACCGGACGAGGGAGATGTACAAGTGAAGAAGGTGTTTTGAGTTCCCGCCCCACTCCGGATGCGATAGAATTTTCAAAGCGTTAAGCGCTTTCTGGCACCTCACACGAAGGTCTTTAATGTGTGGTATGAATGTGAATTTTTTTTGTCGAATATAACGCCGAGGAAACGAGCTTGGTCCTGGACGGGAATCCTTTCCCTGTATAGTGTCAAATCCGGCTGCAGCACACGTCTGCCTGTTCGGCAGAAGTGTACACTGCAACCGTCTTTGGCGGGGAGAACTTGAAACCATTATTGTTTGCCCACTTTTCGAGTTTGTGCAGCTGCGTTTGCAGCTGCCTTTCCATAGATCTCAAATGAGGATTTTTCGAAAGGCAGCATAATATACAAAAGTCGTCAACGTATAACGAGCTGTCTATGCTGTTTTGGAGGGTTTTTACGATGGAATTTATTTCAATTTCAAATAGGAGAGGAGAAAGGATGCTC